GTGACATTCAAGCCATATGAGGACCAGGTAGGATATAGGGAAATTATTGACGGTCAATCAAAGGCACACTGAGAAAAACGGCCAAAGTCAATGCAAGTGTTGGCGGTCGATCAATGATATTAGTTTGGGGCGATTTAAGTCAGAGCATTCGGTTGTTTTTCGCAAACTCAGCAAACCAAACCAAAATCAAAAGGAAATTGTTACTTTTTTTGATGTAAAGTTTGGGATATTGTAAGCAAACAAATGTAAAACTTGTGTTGTGTTAACTTTCATGTTAAGCTTAACGTTTGATTTTAAATTATTTACATATCATCGATGCTAATATTTACCTGTCGCACCACGACAGGCTGCGGCTGCGGCTGCGGGCGTCGCTGCGGACGCTGCTGCGTCTGCTGCTGGAACTGGGGCTGGACGAAGGGCTGCGGCTGAGTGTCCAGCCGGTTCTCGAGGACTTGAACCTGGGAATTGCTGGAGGGGGGAGGAGGCGATCAGCTGATGGCGCGTGCGTGTACCGGTAGTCGGTAGCGTATGGCGACTGTCAGTGACGCGACTGCCGGTCGGGTGACGTCACGTCACAATAAGGTACGTCACCCGCACCGTCGCGTCGTCACACTTACGGTTGTTGCCCCCTGACCACCTGCTCCTGCAGCTGGGCCTGCAGCTGCAGCTGTTTCTGCTGGACGTCCTGCAACTGCTGTAGCAGGTCGCTCTGCTGCCTGGTGAGGCTCGCCTGGAACGAGAAGTATAGTAGTAATGTGTGTGTGTGTGAGAGAGAGAGAGAGAGAGAGAGAGAGAGAGAGAGAGAGAGAGAGAGACATACAGACAGACAGACAGACAGACAGACAGACAGACAGAGACAGAGAGACAGAGAGAGAAATGGACGGAAAGCTTTTTGCTGCGCAAAGAAACAACGACGGCGACGACGGCGATATTATTGGGCGGATGCTGATTATTCACAGCGTAAAGCTGTCATCGTTAATCCGCTCTAAGCGTTACAAACGGCCCAAAAGGCTCGCGTCTCGATTCGGATTTTGGTTGTTTTAAATTTTCGCGCGCGCCGTCATCTCATATCTCGGCGGCACCGCCTCCCACAAAACTACACACAAAACGAGCAGGAGGGAAGTGCTTCAAGCACCACGAGCGCCACGGCGGCGACTTTGTCACGAAAAGAAAAAAAACTAAACTGGCGAAGGATGAGCAGGACTACTACTACTGTACTCCATCGCACGACCTGGCCGATCCACGGCTATAAAGAGGTATTTCCAGAGACGCTTTTGCTGCTTGATGGATCGGCAGCGTGATCCGCAGAAGATCCGCAAGGCGCTCGTGTAAACAGAGCCGGATCGGACAGCCACGCATCTGTCAGTGTCTCCGGAGAGGAGGCAACAGGAAGGAGGAGGAGGAGGCGGCGATGACGTCGACAGATGCAGCGTGTGTGATGGTGTGTGATGTTGACTGTGGCCAAACTGCATCGAGAACGCAAACGACCCGGCAAAAAAACCGTTTCGAAAAAAATGATATAAATAGTGTTGCGAGC